GGCCAACATAAATAAGGGCCCTTATTGATACTTATTTTAGCTCATCTGACATGTCAGATGCAGCTTGTAGATCGCATGATGTCCGTGCGTCCGTGCGTCAACAGTTGGCACAAATCTTAACCGCTCTGACGTTTAACTTTACCTGCCTTCTACGTCCTTACAGAGATATTCCATTCATACTAGATCACGGGGGATACATGTAGTTGGCGACAACTGCTCGTTTCTAGTTTTATGATGTTATGAACTCCGTCTGAGTATCACGTAAATATCTGCGGCTGTCGTAGTAATCTGGGGCAATATATTATGTGGTACTGTTATATGGTTGTGTATATATTATTGTTACTGCAAAACAATCAAGAGAGTGAGGGCAAAAATAATTCGTTATCTGTTCTTATTTCAGACATTTGCATCTCATGTTGTCAAGGAGAAGTAATGTTGGTAGACCAGCATCCTCTTTTCCATGGTGGTGTATGCCAAGCTTGTAAGGAGGAACTTCTTGAGACCCTCCTTGCACATGGAGATGATTCAGCCAATGTAATCCAGTGCCTTAATATTTGTAGCGACTAGATGGTGACTTGCATTATCAGATATTGCATTTTTATGGGTGGGTCACATATAACCAAGTAATCATGCACTGAATTGATGCGTGTTTGTGATGTAAGTAATTTACACAGATGTTGGATAATCAAATTTTAGATGTGTAGCTTTGGTGATGTCAAATTGTTGAAACCAATAGGAATTACAATGGAACCCCGAGTTAATGCGATTTCGGATATAATGCGATGAGTCGTTGGACCCCCTTTTTTTGTTCTTATATAGCCACGTATCTATAACCCCAATTTAGTGCGACCCCGCTTTTTTCGCGATGACATTTTATGGACTCCAACCATTGCGTTATAACGGGTCTGCACTGTACTTATTGCATTCAGCATGAAATTTAAGGGGTAATACCATGTGAAAGAAAACTGCACAGAATTTCTGGGAACAACTAATAATAATAATAGTAATAATGTCACACAGCTGCAACAAATCTTTGCAGGTGTACTGCGTGGTGTGTGGATATGCAGGAGAACTGTACGTTTGTGATAACTTTGAATGCAGCCGAGTGTATTGCCTCAGCTGCATAGAAGTTCTCATAGGAGATGCACATGCAGAGACTGTGCGCAGTGCATCACCATGGAGTTGCTTTATGTGTGAAGATGTACAGGTATAGCTTCTCTAGCTTCTGATAACGATGTATGATTAGTCTTAAAACAGTTTCTTTACATATGATTTTTACAGTGAAGCATTGTGTTATGAGGTGGTGTTATTTATACATTTCTGTTTCTTGAATATGAGCAGGAAGGTTTGTTGCATCCTAGAAGTGACTGGCAACAGAGGCTTGTGAAGTTTTTCCAAGTAGAGACACATGTTATGGTAAGGTGTTGGTGTCCAGACAGTGATGATTTGGAAATGACGTTGGTTTCACTTTCATTGTTTATTAGAACCTAATTCAACTAATCTAAACCATTCTGACATGTAGTAAGTGTTTTTAATTTTTTAAGTGTAGTAATATGTTATTCCTAATAAACAACGTTAAAGTGTAAATATATTTTTACAGGGAGAAATTGATCCAAGCTGTTTTGTCGAGAAGCGACCAATCAGAGTTCTCTCTCTTTTTGATGGCATTGGAACTGGTAATATATAGTATACTGAAATATCTGGATTTAATTTCAATTGCTACATATTTAATAAATACTACATAATTGTTGCTTTCTGTACAATGTGTGTCTATGTATGTTGGTGCCATATGCTATAATTCTTTTCATTTTTATTAAGGCAAGTTTGCACTGGATCAACTAGGGTTGGAAGTTGAGACATACTTTGCCAGTGAAGTTGACCAGGATGCTGTGAATGTCGTATCAATTCATTACGGCAATAAAGTGCAACAGATTGGAGACATCAGCTCTATTCCATCATGCAAGGTGGGCTAGCTAGTTGCTGTGCTGCCACTAGTAGCCAGTCTTGATTACTATATAGGCTCACAGTGTAGCCATGGAGTAAATATCATATTGACATTGACTGGCTTCCATCTGAATAATATAAGGCTACAGATATCTTGCCTGGTACTCGTGTTTACAGTTCTCTTTATTGTGACTGGAAATCCAATTGATTTTCACACTTTCAACGGGTGTATTTAATTTGTCCTGTAATTGTGTTTTGAGCTCATCTGACGTAGTCAGATGCAGATTGTAGAATCGCATGATTGTGCGTCCGTGCTTGCGTCTGTCCGTCATCAGTTGGGCACAAATCTTAACCGCTAGACGTACGGTCACGATATTCGGGACGTGGTGGGTGGGGGGGGGAGGGTTGTGAAAAGGACTCGGGATGACAAATTTGGGGGTCAAGGGTCAAAAGTCAATGATGTGTAAACGGAGGGGGAATATTTCCCCCTTAACTTAAGGTATAGGAGGAAATACGGAATTGCGGCACAAATCTGAACGGCTCGACCTAGGCTCGTGATAGTCGGTGTAAAGCATCATGGTAGGAAAAGCCATCACTGTGCCGAAATTAGAGGTCACAGGTCAAAGGTCAATGGGGCACAGGGCAGATTTTAGGCATTTTCTGAGGACATGGTCTGACGGAGCGATTGAAAAACTTTTTTGTTTCAGCGATGACCTAGCATTTTTATGGCTTTATTGAAAGGACCATGAAATGTACTTTCTGCTGACATGCGAAGAGTAAGTGTAGGATAACATTTTGACCCTCAAGAGGAGGGTTAAACATGGATTTGTTTACTGTTAGAAAGAACTTGACTGCCGGGTTTGCTAGTAGAATCTATACATGCCTGGATGTATGAGGCTACAATGTCACAGTGAAATTTCAAAAGCTAAATTTGGTTGAAGAAGGTTTATGCTCTTTAAATCGCATAATTTCGATGGCATTCTGTACTGTCAGTGTGTTACATGTAACGTATATTCCACTGCAATTGGCCACTGCCAGTGCATGTGGTGGTAATAGTACTGTGTAGTTTTTTTCTGCATTAATTAGTTACAGGTGGCAGCTCTCTATTTCAGCTTGTAGGCTTGCGTAGGTAAATGGATGAGTGCTTACCTATTCTGTCTTGCAAATAGTTGTTGCTACTACGTACGGTGGGAGCTTCCATCTTTAATCTTAAGACACTTAAACGTACGCGCCATCTCGTGGCAACTTTCATAACGATCCCAACGAACATTCTTTTGAGAAGGTTCCTGATACCATCCCTGTGCCTTCCACTGTTTCGGCGTGTATGTGAACACATTTGGGACTAACAGGGTTTACTAGAATCCCACCACTCTACCACAGAGTCACCGCAGTAGACGTTAGATGAGCGCTGTCGCTCCGCGGCACTTGTATACATTTAGAGTGCCACCAATAGCTCAGTGTGGTTAGGAATGTTGAAAGGTATATTCGTTACTATTTTATGCACAGATTGCATCACTATGCCCAATTGACCTTCTAATCGGTGGATCACCATGCAATGACCTCTCTCTTGTGAATCCATCTCGCAAGGGTATATATGGTATGTGGGATATCTTCTGGTAGTCTTTTCATAGAAATGTTAAATTGTCATTGTAGTGAAAGTACTTTATCATTGGAATATAAACGTGTATCACATGGCTGTTAAAGTCAAAACAATTGATGTTAGTGAAAGAATATACAGTCGTAGATCTGTTAATTAATATGAGTGTTGGCTTTGAGCAGGAGGTTCAGGAGTACTGTTCTTCGAGTTCTATCGGATACTAAAGTGCATCCAGCAGAGTAACCCATCAAATCGCCATCTGTTCTGGCTGTATGAAAACGTAGTGACAATGCCAGCAGACTGCAAAGCAACCATATCTAAGTTTCTGGAGGTACTGTAGTTATAGATGTAGTTGCGTGCCGTGTGGCTTGTACATGTTTTCGGTTGTGCGGTGTGATTCCAAATTGGCTACTGTTCACTGGTTAACATGATCTGGATCCATATGTGTTTAAAGGGATACATTTCTCTAGGTTCTTCAGATATTTTCAGCTAAGATCAATAGGTTACAATTACGCTTCATAAAAAGTTTTATGGTTCAATATTTATTAGAGATATTTTTTTTTAATGTTTTAAAGCTGACGGCTATACCATTGCTTACAACGACGTTGGCGCCACTGGCAGCGCGCCCACTGAAAAAGTTGCGCAAAGCAACGTTTCGGCTGCAGGCTACAGACCGAGGGTGTTGCTTATTTATTAATTTAAAAGCAGAAGGATTGCAATATCTTATAAACGACATAGTTTCAGTTATAATATGGATAAATTTGTCCTAAAATTAATATCGTTCGGTTAAATAGCTTTTAGGTATAAATATAATTGCAATTTTGTGATTAGCCATCGGTCTCTAACGTGCAAAATAAATTTGCAAATGCGCAACTTTTTCAGGTTGGCAGCATGGTCGCGGGTGTCATGTCAGCGCCCAAAAATAAAGATTTTGAAATTCAATGTTGTTTTATGACAAACGTGAATGTGTAATTATAGACATTTATAGGTATGTGCTATTATTTATAAATCTACTATCATAATATATTCTCAACTTCTAGAGGAAAGTATCCCTTTAAATAAATTGCATACCTTAATCCATCACTGGTAATAATCACAGGTTGTATAGCTATAAGTATAACTGAGAATTCTGAGTAATCATGCGTTTATAATAGGGTCTTTTCACCTTGAGCACAATTTATTAGCTCATCTGACATAGTGAGATGCAGCTTGTAGAATCGCATGAGCGTGCGTCCTTGCGTCCGTCAACAGTTGGGCACAAATCTAAACGGCTCGACGTACGTATTCGAAAGTCGGGATGTAGGGGGCAATCCGAAAACGAGTTGGGATGTTGAAGCTGAGGGTCAAAGGTCAAGGGGTGTAAAAGAAGGGGGAACATTCCCTCCTTAACTTAAGGTATAGGGAGGAAATGCAGAATTGTTGACCAGCTAGGGTACGTTCCGGTATACCGGACCGTACACAGGGTACATTCCGGCAGTACCCTGGGGACATAGACCCTATGAGCAAAAATATAGCCTTGTTATAGGTTATCCCAAAGCGCCTGTATTGATATTTATCAATATAGGCTCTTTGGTTATCCTCTAAATTACATGTCAGGGTTTTCAGTGTTGTCTAACGTACGTCTCATTCACTGATATCTATTATACTAACGTTAGTATAGTAGAGATCAGTGGCCTCATTGCAGTCTGCAGATTCAATCTGAGATTGATTTTAGTGGTTATCGGCTGCTCTGGTGTTTAGTGCAGCCATTTGTGATTGGACTATGTATAAACTCGGCAATAACGTGATTGGTCGATAAGGTTGACGATGTGATATCGTCCATCATCCATCTATATCTTCTTTGTTGTTAATTTTTCTGAATCGTCTGAAAGAAGTATAGCTATTATTGATATCTTTAAACGAATGTTATACGTGTAGGAATTCTACTTAAACATTGCCGATACTAGCAAATTTCCAACGGATGTACGACAAAGGTACATTACATGGTATTAATGGCGAAGAGATCGAGAATACTAGTATCATCTATGACACTGACTGTTGAAGGCCTAGTAGTAGTACTAGTAGTAGTAGGACTACTACTAGGACCTACTACTACTACTACTAGTACTAGTACTACTGGGCCAGTACTACTAGTAGTAGTACTAGTAGTAACTTAGTATCATTCAGTATGATGGTGCAGTCGACACCGACAAGTACGAGAACATAACATAACATATTGCGGAAAATCGCTCCCAACGCGTTTCCCGTTGCTATTGGCAGTAATAAGTACGGGGTATTGCATTGCCTTGGCCTTGGCTTCAATTACTGAATTAGGGGCCTATAGTCCTACTGGCTATATTATTCCGTACGGGTTCCAACGCAACGGGAAATCTGCTGGCTGCATGTTTATTACATAAATTGTTTACGGTGATTAAGACACAGGCCCTTGGAGGCTCAAGTTTCAAGAAGAGTAAAAGAGCGATGCCTCCAAGGGTGCAAATCCACTTTAGGCACCTTAGGTATCACAAAGTGATGCACAGATTTCTGTGTATCATCAACTGATGCACAGACTTTCCGTATATCAAGGAATGATGCAAAATATTAAATATTGTAAGATCGACTTGCTACCGATGCTTTACCGCTGTCTGCAGCGCACACACTCGTGTTTTACGTACGCACAACATTTTCACGCAGTTAATGTTATGGAGGCAGTGGGTTGTGTAGAACCAGTGGGTTCGTTGTCATGCCACCGTGACGTCACACTTCGGTACTCTATTGACAAACACAATTGGTGATCTCAGTACAGATCAAACATGTCAAACATGTCAGATATAGCAATCCTCACCTCAATGAAGCTATAATTGCTAGTTTTTAACTCTATTTACTAATATTGATTACTTAATGGCTAACATATCGTGTAGTGATTTGCTAAGTAAAAGTTCCTTTCATTACAGTGTGAACCAGCCATGTGGGATGCACAGTTGTTCTCAGCTCAGAAAAGAGCGAGATATTTCTGGGGAAACATTCCTGGCCTGTACAGGTACGTAAATTTTTTTAACTGTAATGAGTGCATATGAGCGTGAGTAGATACCTTTTCAGTGTATTTTGACAGAAGTTAATTATCATTGCGTTGTTGATGAAAATATTTAACATGTGCACGTGTGTTACAATTAATATGGTTTCAGTCATGCTCCCCTTCACGTGGAGGAGAGAGGAGAAGCGAGCAGCATCAGTGAAATATTAACGTCCAGCTGTAACAGAAAAGCTGTGGTATGAATTCTGGAAAATTAATCTCTGTGGCTGTATAGGGTGTATATTAACTACTAAGATTCAATCGAGGGTACATAATAGATAATAGATAATACATGATAGAATAAAAAAAAACCTGAACTTAACATTACCTTAAACAATACATTAGGTTTGTGTCTGATTGTTTTCCTGGCAGATATCCTGCGTGTCTGGTTGGCGCTATCTGTACAGGCTCTAGTGAACTCGGCATCAGAATTGATGTACAACCAACTCGGGACAATGAAATACGATATCAAACCCACGCCTAATCATAATTATGATAGAACCTGGTTTACCATTAACTTACTGCATGGTTTTTGTACAGGTTAAAAAAGTGAGGACAATTACCACGAGGCCTAACTCTCTACGACAGGGCAAACAAGAAAAGCTATTCCCTGTGCAGATGAATGGTGTCGGTGATACACTATGGAGTACTGAGCTGGAGAGGTAAGTGTCACCATTCATCAGCCATGTTCAGACTAGCCCTGGTTTTCAACCGAAATGAAATCAAGGTTTAAAAAAAACTAGTTTTAAGAGGAATTTTATTCCTCAATTATAATGGCAAAGACAAAATAAACTAATAGTGCTCTTGGTTTTGATTCAATAGCAATAGCACCATGCACAAAATATGGGTGGTCAACACACATAACATGAGGGTTTAATATGAGTTGGTCTCTATCGCAAAGTCAAAGAATCAATTCAAACAAATGACAAACCATATAGATCTAATGAGTTTTCTCAGAAACTACTCGATGCTCATTGAAAAGCAAGTTGATTGAAAACAGGGATGACAGCTGGATGAGGTAGCATGAGTAGCATGAGCAAACTTTGGCTCTGAATTTGCTTTGATTAGGGACTGGTGCGATTCAGTTCCTTTCTTTGATATATCTATTGTGACATTTTAATGTATTTTAACAGATTGTTTGGATTCCCGGATCATTACACAGATGTTGGCAATCTTTCTGTGGGTCAAAGACAGAAGCTATTGGGGAAAGCATGGAGTGTTCCTGTGATTCATCATCTGTTAAAGCCAATAGCTAAGTTCTATATGTCTACAGAACAAAGTGATATAATGGCAACCAGTGATACAGCCATGGAGCAGCAGTCCAGTGACATCTCTGTCCCAACAAGCAGTGGGAACTCTGTACTCTCGCCATTGAGTAACACTGCTGTTGCAGCAGCAAGCACGTATGAAGTGGAGAAACCACCAACAGATTCACTATAGTCCCATCAACGAGTAGTTATACAGTAGGGCAACCATCAACAGATTTACTAGTCCCATATCAACGACTAGTTATAGAGTAGGGCAACCAGTAACAGATTTACTAGTCCCATCAACGAGTGCAGTTCACTATAGTCTCATATCGACGTGTAGTTATAGAGTAGGGCAACCAGTAACGGATTTACTAGCCACATCAACGAGTGGGTGTGAGTCGGAACAACTACCAACGTATTCACTATTCCCAGTAGCAAGTGCTTATGAATTGGAGCAACCACCAATGGATTCACCAGGCCCAACGACATGTAACACCTTGTCAGAACTCTTCTCAGAATAATTATTCATATACAGGTACAAGATACTTTGGAGCAAGTTAATTATAACCTATTGTTTTTGTAATTGTTAAAGTGTAATTATGAGTGAGGTTACAAAGATACCTTTAAATATTTCTTTACAACATAATGTATATGACAACTATTTATACTACATAATTGTTCCGTTTTTATTCATATTTTGGAAAAGGTTACTTAAATAATGGTGTTTTGTGGCAACCATGTGTCCGAATAGATAATTTGTTTCTAATCCTGATTAAAAATTACCTCGAAGCCCTTCTTTACAGGCGCATAGGAGAAAATACGTTAGAGACACTTATCGTATCTATAAAAACAGTGATCAAGAAAGATTACAATAGTGGTAAATGTGAGTGGCTATAACATGTTTACTACTATAACTATAAGCTATAGTTGTTTTAATTGTATGTTTTTGTTTGGTTTATCAGTTTTCATGACGTTTTTTGGCATTAGTTTCCTTTTCATGTTTGCTATTTTGCCACGTATTTGAACAGTGTGATTTATATACCATGTAGAGCAGCAATATACATGGGTTTGATGTTACCAGGACCCATTTATATATTATATTACCCATATACCCCATTATTATACTATAATAAAGTGCAGTTTTTGATACTATAAACGTAAGTATACTTGTGCAAATATAGTAATTTGGTTTATATGACTGCTGATTGGTGGCATGGTGCATTATTCTGTAAAATCTGAGGTCATGACTGACATTTAGCATTTTGTCTAGATATTTAGGTATTACAAACTTGTAGATTGACATTTTCAAACAAAACCAGTTGTCCTTGTCAGTGTTATTTTATGTGCATTTATGCTGTTTTTTATGTTTAAAATAAAAACTTATTTATTATTTTACCTGTACAGTACTTATAATATGTACGTGTGTTGGGGTGGTTTTTCGCTCACCTTGACATCGTCAAGCTGAGCTATTGCCATGGGTCGTCGGCCGTCGTATGTCCGTCAACATTTGGCTACGGTCAACGATAACTCAGGAACCATTTGACCCACATGTTTGAAATTGGGTACAGTTGTTGCTGCTATGCTCCCATATTAAACGTCCTGTTTTGGAGCACGCCAGTCGACGTACTTTCGAGCCACGGCAATTTTTTGGCAAAAATGGGAATTGCCATTAGTCAGTTCAGGTTCAACGGATTTTGCTCATTTTTGGTATGTGAGTGAATAAGGGCTAGGGGTTTTGATATTTAATAAAAAAATTATGCAAATAAGGTAGGGTTTTACAATTATATATATAGCATATTTTATAGACATGCAGATAACAAACAGTCTGTGGTGTCACACTCGTCTGGTTCGTTTTACAAGATTTCATTGACAATTAAGGGTAATGCCATCTTTGATTATTGATGACACTTGCGCGCGCCATTTGCGGCAACTGCTTTTGCTATTAGAGCCCCTTCCACCCGCCCCCTCCCTCCACTCTACCCCCAACACCACCACCGCTACGCTCGCGCTCGACGCATATCCATGATAACATGTTAATATAGCGAAGTCATTAAAGTTACACAGCTGTATCTTTATTGCTGTACTACCGGTATATAGTAACCCCAGGGGGGCAAAAAGGTCTCGGGATGTCGAATTTAGGGGGTCAACGGTCAAAGGTCAAGATGTGTCAATGGAGGGGGAATATTTTCCCCTTAACTTAAGGTTTTTGGAGGAAATACGGAATTGCGGCCCAAATCTCAACGGCTCGACCTACGCTCTTAATATTCGATGTATAGTGTGATGGGGAGGAAACCCATCACCAGCGCGAAATTGGAGGTCACAAGTCAAAGGGCAGTGTGGGAAAGGTCAGATATCAGACATTTTCTGAGGACGTGGTCTAACGGACCGAGTGCAAAACTTTTTTGTTTCAGCGCTGACCTACCGTTTTTATCACTTTATTGAAAGGACCATGAAATCTACTTTCTGCTGACGTGCGAACAATAAGTGTCTGATAACCTTTTGACCCTCAAGAGGAGGGTTAAACATGGATTTGTTGACTGTTAACAAAGGACTGAACTGCTTTTGCTATTAGAGCCCTCCCCCCACCACCACCCACTACGCTCGCGTTCGACGCATATCCATGATGACATGTTAATATAGCAAAGTCATTAAAGTTACACAGCTGTATCTTTATTACTGTACTACCAGTAGGTATAGCAAAGCCTATCATAGATTTTAGATCTGTATTAGTAGTATCAGGAGTAAGATAATATAGGAGGAGTATGACACTCCAAAATACGTGAAATTCAACATTTAATTGCTTGCCTAATTTTACCGATGATATATTACGTGCAACTCGATAAAAATTACATCTAAATTAGCGTTGGACATCCACCTCTCACTCAAACTTTACTTAGTTTCCATACCTCTTCTTATTATGGAGATATAGCTTTGAACGTCACACATCGTTCATAGCTTTTGACTACTAGACTAGGCTTGTGGCTTAGCTTTCCTCGCCTTCCTAACTGTTGTTATGCAGTGTGAGGAATGGTCTCTTGTCTGTTCACATTAAGAATGCCCCCTAGTTGATGATACACAGAAATCTGTGCATCACTTCGTGATACCTAAGGTGCCTAAAGTGGATTTGCACCGCCTCCAAGGCCTGGTAAAAAGGCGAAGCGGTTCGTTCGCTTCGCTCGTTTACCACAGGCCGTTGGAGGCTTTGCTCGCTTCTCTCTTTTACTCTTCTTGAAACTTGAGCCTCTAAAGGCCTGTGATTAAGCACACCAATTTTGAAAAGAAAAGTTCTGTATGAAGACATCGTATTGTATTGAAAGTCTCTTATCCCGAGTTTACTTGTTATAATTTACATGACGTCAACCAGTCGTAGAGCCTGGTCGGGCTAGTTTTTTCCCAGGCCTTTAATTTTTATGCCGGCAACGCTGAAAGTGGTTTAAAATGTCCCATAAATCCTTGATTTGTAGCAATTTCCTTATTGACGCACATTAATTTCTGGTTCTGTGTACTCCTTTGACATTCCCAGCACAGTGATGCTGTTTTCGTAGCTCTAGCTATTGCTCATGCTACACGTAGAGTAGGGCTACCCCTGTAACTCAAGGGGCTACACAGGTCTAGGTACTTTTTTTTATAGGTTGATGTATATGCGTCTCCGACAAGGCCGTACACAGGAAATTTTCTGTAGGGGGGCAAATACGCAGGACATTTTCTGTAGGGGGGGCAAAGGTACTCCCCACGCCCTCTATTGCCCTATTTGTCCCATTAAAAGGCATACTCTGAAAATCTCTAGGGGGGGCAACTGCCCCTGCTGCCCCCCTGCTGCGTACGGCCCTGGCTCTCCGAACTGATCTAGTGTATGTACCTTTGTATTAGTGCTGCTTAAAATCAGCGATAAATTGCATTCAGAAATTCTTGTGGTGAACCCTGAGTTGGGAGTATATTTATATCAAGGGTGTATTAAGAAGGAGAGCTTACAATGGTGAAATGCAAAAACCATGTGAACTGCGAAGAGCGCCTTCGTGGCCCAGTGGTTAGGCCACGTATACTGTCTGTTATGTCTCCGTCGTAAGAACTATAACATTTATTGTATAGGTTTAATGCTGGTTTAATAACTCAACACACAGGTTACAACTTAAACACGGCATCACAGCCAGCGAGGCTGGAGCTGCCACAAACGTCTACGCGTAGCTCGCGCTGCTAGCAAGTGCCAGCACAAAGAACCGTTACGCACACCTGCTGCGTTGTCGAATGACTTACTGACTCGAAGCCATTTATGCAGACAGCTTGTGCCGTGAAAACAACTTAATAACATAGCGTGATTCGTATCACTGTCCACTGAAGGATGTGAGTTCAAACCCTGGCCGGGGCAGTGAATTTTCTCAAGGTGTAAAAACCTGGCTCTCAACATTGGAGACTGTGAATCTCCCGTGGCTCGGATGACCACATAAAATGGCGGTCCTGTCTCCAGTAATACTAAGGCCAATAGGGACATAAAAGAACCACTGAGGGCTCCAAAAAACTCTGGCTATGAACACCCTCAGTGCCATTCGGCTAAAAAGGCTAACTACCTGGCTTTACCCAAGCTAGGTCACACCTTCTGGCTAGCTATAGTCCTGGACGTTTATTCCTTACGGAATGTCCCTGCGTTATTATCCACGTAACCGTTGGCTATGCAGTAAACTATCCAGATCCATGTTGTAGTTTTGAACAATGAAATTAGTAAACTTGACGAGTTTTATTTTGATAATTCTTTGCTGTATTATTATTCAGCTGTCCCTTGATAATGTAAAACCAACCGCTTGTTCCTACGATGTCCCTACGCTGAGATAATGAGCGGTGAAAATCTGGTATTTTTGCCGAAAACCGACTCGAGATACGTAGTGGCTGCGACTGTCTCTCGTTTTGTGCAAGGAGCTACATATAACATATATGTAACATGGTATATGTAGCTCCTTGGTTTTGTGGACTGTATGTTGCTTCCAGTCGCCGCTGTGTAGTGCTGACTCGATACGTTATTACTACAGCGTTACTACATCCAGCGTAAGGGGCGGGTCATCACCATGGCGATAAATAACGACGTTTTTGTGGAGTAATGGCTGCGTCCATGACTGGAAATGCGGGAAAAGATAGTAAAAGGAAAATAAATTTTATTGTCAATGAATGACGGAAACACGCGAGGTTTCCCGAAGCTATCACCAGAACGAGAGACAGTCGCAGCCATTACGTATCTCGAGTCGGTTTTCGGCGAAAATACCAGATTTTCACCGCTCATTATCTCAGCGTGGGGGTATCGTAGGGACAAGCGGTTTGTTTTATATTAGCAAGGTAGGAGAGCTGATCAATAATACCGCAAAGAATCATCAAAATAAAACGGGAAAAGTTTATTAATTCGACTAATACTGCAGCATGGTTTCAACATTTCACCGTTGTACGCTCTCCTTAATACGCTCTTGTTTATATGTATATAGAACTGTTAATGTCTAGTAACAATTATTAATGAAAGCCTACACAAATAGAGGTTTTGAAATGGGTTGGTTGTAGTGGGTTTTGTGTGGCAGTGGCACCTTTCTATTTTACTAATCTTATAAACCTCCTACTCAAAATTACATAGATGTGTCATGTACCACAATATTGACTCTAAATTAGTACTTAGTACCAGTGCTTCATCTGCCAAATATAAAAACCAAACAAGTTTCTGATGCTCAACTCATTATACACAGCGTCAGAAACCCACTTTGAATTTGATGTTCAAAACAAATAACCATGTCAAGGGAAATGAATGATATTTTCTATGAGCGGGTAATGCTAAAAAAATTGTTAAATTGTGTTGATTTCATCATATCACGTTTTAGCACTATTTTCACGATCTTGGTCGTGATATGGCGGTGTGAGATAAAAAATTATGTTATTTAGACCTCAATTACGCAAGTTAACGGTTGTGAGTCGGAACAATTTCACGGTTTGAACAGTAAGCAGAGACCAGTTTGGTAAGGCCATTAATTTCTAGTTGGCTACTTACATAGTTGAGTTACAAAATGCAGTATTTAATTTGACTTTGTTACTTTTGGCTATTGTTATAATGTATTTGTTCTTACTTAACCAACATTGAATTAACTATCCCAGTTTAATAGCTTAAAATGTATAAATAGTATCTATAGCTTGCAACCAAAATGCAAGGGTAAAGACATTTAAAAATATAGACTGATCTTTCAGCATAATTGGTTTTGGTTCCGACGGGTGTAGCAAAATTATACAATAGTTGTTTTGTTGTACAGTTTATACTACAGAAGTGCTAAACCTTGGTCTTCATTGGATACATGGAGTACTGAGTAGGTATCCTGAATCTTGTTGTCAACTATAAACGTACCTGTATAATCGGCTTCCACTTCCAGATGCCACATTACATGCCAGTAGATGCGAAGGTTGAACACATCGCTGAGAGTGCAACTGTGATGTACTATCGATGTAGTGCTTGCTGTGAGTGCTTCTTTTCTGAAGCTGGCTTTATCGATCATGCAAGACAAGTTCATTGCAAGGTAAGGTACAAATTTACTGAATGGTATTTGCAGATAAATTTTTGCCGATCATTTCTGTCATAAACATTTTAGCTTTGTCTAAGTGCAGGGTGAAAAACTGATAATTGGAGGCACTGGTTCAGCAGGACCAGTGCCTCTGAGGAAGTACTGGTTCTGGTCAGTAGGCACTGGCCTAGGATTTCTGTCGTAGCAAAGTGAATGACTCGGATGTGCGGACATTTTTATAGGGGGGATGGTGCAATTTGGTGATGTGCATTCTAAGGTATTCTTAAAAATTATATTTTTTACTCGTTTCGATACACTGATGCGTAGTAAATCGGACCAAGTCCGCAAGTCGATTTTAAAGATCAGCGATCTCTGAAGACTGCCCATTATTCCTATAAATTATCATATTTTATTACGCGATTGCTGATTGGTCGGTGATGCCCAGTATTATCGAATTAGCATGACCTAGAAAATCGAACACAACAAACCTGGAGAGTTTGTGTACTTCGCATGGACTTTACTTAGGCTTCGGAATTTGACTATTTTTAGTCTATATTTGATTAAATTTACCATTCATTTCATTAGAATAATGTAGTTCAGGTTAGTAGAGAATAACAAAATAATCAGTTTGGTAATTTTGTTATTTCCTGTGCGGCAGCCTAATACTCTTTTTTACGAGAGCTCTTTTTTGATATTGTATGAAAAAAGAGCTCTCGAATTTTTTTTAGCGGAGCCTATTTTAGGCTTGGCCAGAGGCTACTTTTTCATAGCATGATTTTGTTAAAATTTGCATAATTTTGATGCACTGACTCTAATATCATTTCCATCAGCATTCAGCACCAGTATCAGACTATCAGTGTTAAAGAATCGTGAACAAATTACATTCGATCAACATTTTTTTTATCTCATTTCACTCGACTAAGAAACGTAATCACATTCTTATTCAATTTAATTCACACAGACAGACATGCACCTACACAGCACACATAGTCAGGTAACATGACAAAGACAGGAATCAAGAATTATAATCATGGTAATGATGGTATGGTATTTTCAAGTTTCTTTTTTTACTCATTTCTTTCATCTTTCAACTTTCTTTTTACATCGACTGAGCAAGTCAGAACTTCAGAGAGAGTTTTAGTTACTTTGAGTATGTTAAAAAAAACTTGTACTGGAATCTCTAGGAATTCCGGGACCTTCTGGGCAAGGTTTTACTTTCGTTTTTCTCCTCCCCAGTCCACGGTACCCCCATGCATAGATCAATGTTGCCGCACATCCGCAAAGTTACAAGTGCCTATACAGTTTACATTGCTTCTAGATATCTAACTGAATAAAAATAGTCCACTTTCCACATTCCACTTTCCAATAGTCTACATGAAAAGTGACGAATTCAGTTAACAGCTTTGATTACGTGCGTGTCAGGTGTCACTGGTCATGCCCTCACTCCCCACAATTACCCCTGCGATATAAAAACTTATTGTTATGCGGTCATAAAAACCTGGGCTGCACTAATGCCGGTGATGCCGCATTCGATTTCTTAGATTGTCGCGATTTTTTGTTCGTGTGGCGAATCATGCGTTGAGGGAGTTCTAGATGTTTTGGATGCCCCGTCTACGTTGAGAAACGAGTCGTATTATGCGCTCCCGTTTACAAGTCTGTATTTTTTCGCTGTTGTGCCGCGATTATCTAGTCGCCCCGCCGGACCAGCAGACACGAATAAGCAGTCGCCCGGTAGATTTTCTAATCGCCACTGGCGACTGGGCGACCGCTAGTTTCTCACGCTGAAGTGGGTCTATATAAGATATATTTTGTAATATGTGTTGCATGCTACTTATATGTGCATTCCTATACAACTAATGCAAATGATTTGTAGCAAATAGCAATAAAACCCCATGTACAAATAAACATTTCATGTTGTTATTGGGAGAAAATTTAGTTTCTATTGTTTTAGGTAACGTTCTAAAAATCCAAGTAATAAGTTGACCATTTTTTTCTTGACTAGGTTTTAATATGCCAAGGACACAATGCTGATTATGACAGCCAGGCTGCTTCTGATGTTGCAAGACGAGACAACCTGGACGCATCTGCTTCTGATTCTGTAACAACGCAACCATCTACACAATCTCACTCCCCAGAGAACTCTCAGCGTATAGGAGAAAACAGTAGGACATGGTTGGAACCTCTTCTAGAGCAGGTGGGAGACGAATTACACAGAATGTCATCGTGCATCACAACTCAAGATCAGGAAAAATGCGCCGACAGCGATTGCGGTACTGAAGCTCCATCAAGCCGCCTAAATCTAAGCACAAACTTGGCTCCGTTAAGAAGCCTATTGACGTCTGCGAATATGCAGCTGCTTCCAGTGCAGACTGCACCGCGAGTGCTGGGAAGGCTGCCAAAGGCGAACAGAAAGCAGTTCGCCCCGAAAACCTTGATACAGTACACATCGCAACGGCTGGCGCGCGACGCGCAGACGCCGCGGCCTTTCATGAAGAAGTTTTCGCTGAAGGACTGGTCGAACGTGCTGAAGCCGCACAAGTGCCAGGTGTGCAGCGCCGGCTTCCGCACTCCGGCGATGCTGCGCCAGCATCTTGTCGTGCACACAGGCGAGCGGCCTTACAAGTGCAGCATGTGTTCGGCTGCGTTCACGCAGTACAGCAACATGAAGCGACACCGGCGACTCACGCACGACACGGACTCCTGCGTGCTGTGCAGGGTGTGCGGCCGCGCTTTCAGTTCGGCGAAGAGTTTGACGCAGCATCTGAATCACCACAAGACGTACCTGAAGAGCAGGGCTTCATCCAGAGGAGCCGATGCGGCACTGATGAAATCCGGTGCGTTTAGTGGATTGCCGGCTGTGATGATGGGTAGTGAGATTGCCACCAGTAGTGGCTCCCAGAGTCACGCTGATACCAGTTTGGTGAAGGAGCCTTGCAGGCAAGTGGACAAAAATGTAAACGAGATCTCTTCTGTGGCAGTTGCCAGCGAGTACATAAATATGGAGGACATTGACATAGACATGTCCCCATTACCTGTCGACGCTGGCAAAAATCGTCATGGACTGCCCGAGTACGGTGAAGGCGATGGCAATGACCACGAACTGAGGTTTGGACCATTGTTGCAAGCAAGTACCTCCAAGGGGTCACCAGCACAGGAGGCAAAGTCTATAGAGGACAATCCTCCACCGACGACGTTTGAGTGTGGACTGTGCGGTTTCTCCGCCGGCTCGCAACACGGTGTGAAGCTACACATGAGAGTACACACGGGGGAGAAGCCTTACCAGTGCGACATGTGCAGTGAGAGCTTCCGTCATTCCGGCACTCTGATCACCCATCGTCGCACACACACAGGTGAGAAGCCATACACGTGTCACCTGTGCCCCGCCTCATTCACACAACTAAGTAACATGAAGCGGCACGAGCGGCGGCGCCATCTGTACTTGTCGTCCGACACCTTCGGGACTTCGAATAGTGCACAGCATGGCCAGTTACGTATAGACAAGGCAGCAAGGAGAATCGACGAATTCCCTGGTAGCGATACGGAAAATCTGCCAAACGTTGCTGGCGACCCAGAAAGCGAGACAGATTTTCGCGTGGATCACGAGAAAGGACGGACGGAACTGCAGGACCCTCCCCCCACCAAACCACAGTCTGATTTGTTCGAGACGCAGCAAGATGTGCCCGCATATAGATGCAGCAAAATTTCTGGCGAGCCAAGTGTCTGCAGCAGTTTTGAGCAAGATAGCGAGGTTGTCGCTAGCGATTTCGCCACCGAGCAGACTCTGACACAGCCCGTGTACATGCAGGCTGCGCAGCACGTGAGCAGCGTGAGTGGAGGTAGCAACGAGCAGCAGCACGACGCGTCCACGAAGGTGAAGGGCGGCGAGTCGCAAGGTGTTGACAATCCGGACGGAGGCGGCACTGCGCAGGGGCGTCACGGGTGCCTGGTCTGCGGCGAGATCCTTAAGTCTAGCGGCGAATTCGAGGAGCATGTGGCACAGCACGCCAAGCAGAATTCTGCAGCGGCGCCGGTTATGAAGCAGTTCAAATGCGAGTTCTGTCCCGCGACCTTCCGCCGCTCACGCAATCTGGCCGATCATCGGCGCACTCATACGGGTGAAAGACCGTTCCAGTGTAACCTGTGCCCGGCTGCATTCACACAGCACAGCAACATGAAAAGACACAAACGGTTCGTGCACAAAACGCAGTGATTGCAAGTTTACCGACGAGTAGATTACATTGCTCTTTCTCTCTCACTGTCCCTTTTTTTCGTTTGTGCACTCTTCTCATTCCTCGTCTCAGTTGCGCTCTCCGTCTCTCTTTGCTAATTTTCTTCCTCATTCTCTCTGCCTTTATATACAACCATGAGTCAATAATTTAAAAAGATTTCATGATACAGATTATCTGTTCATCTAGTTTTGTTTTTAGAAACAGTGATGTAGGCGAGTTGTATGTTATAATGTACTTGCATGTGTTAAATGTTGGTTCATATAAGAAATCTTTTGTCTGAATGTACCTCTGTGTAGCAGTGTTAAATGTTACCTGTGGCTGCGACTGTTAGTATACACATAATCGCATCATGAATCACTGTAAAATGCACAAACACATCAATTACATTTTATACTTGTATCTATGTGTGTGTGCGTGTTTGACTGTACGAATAATATGTATAGGTCTATTTCTTGTAAGTGCTGTAGTAATGTGCAGTGAATATATATATACATATTATGTGTGTGTGTGTGTGTGTGTGTGTCTGTGTTAAAGTGTAAATTGGTCAGTTTGTGTAAGTGCCCATAACATACAATAGTCACTGTAGTTACGTCAGCTGTTAAAGTGAATAGCGTCATATTTGATGTATGTAATGTATATGTAATATACAGCAAGTTACACATAAGATACGATAATAAAAGTGACTGGGATGATTTAACCTCATTTTACCTCAAGTAGAACGTGCATATTGATAATTATTTTTACATGAGATAGCTTAATTTATCACAAGAGTCATCGAGTTGGGTTTATATTTTTGCTGACAACACATCAAAACAATTTACCTTTAGTATTCATGTGTCAAGAGCTGGCTGTATACTATGTCTACAGAAATGTAAATAAATATTTACTTTATCCTAATCTATTATCATTGACATTTACTGCGTATTTACATATTAGAGATTTAAATATCAAAATACTATTTACATGGTCGTAAAACGTCCTAATAAATCCACAATGTATAATGATTATTTCACACAAAATTTGAATTTTAACTTCTTGTACCTTTTGTCTCAGTAACTCATGCCACACATACACCCACCCACAAACACTACATCCACATTCCACCATATTCCAGTTATCTAAACATGAGTATGGAAAGGTGCATCAACGTTATCACTTAGATCGTTTCATTTAAGCACACCCTTAACAAAAATCTTTACACTTGCCAGCTGCCATAACGAGTATAATGGATTCAATACAGGACTATATGCACACCTTAATTAATAACGAGACATTCATTCACATAGTGATGCGACTTTCTATATGCAGTCAGCAGATGTTTATAAATAGTAAGGAATTTCCACACACTATCTGCAATGTAAAAACTGGACCATTCATCTGGTAGCCTTTATTTGTGGCAACGGACGAAGAAGTGATTCTATCTGCTTTAAAGTTTATTCTTACAAGAATCATTACCATACGTATAACGAGTGGTCTGCAGGGCCAATGTAACCAATAGCAATAAGTATAACATCCACAATTGTCCACACACCAAGGCCACCAAAGCTGAACAGTTTTCCAATTCCTTCCCGCCAAGACCCAAGGTAGAATCGATCAACGCCAAAGCCTCCCAGGGTTATGCTATAAAAAGAGAGGTGAATCCATGAGTGAGTTAAACTTATTCAAGCTAATCATCCATCATACCTACTAGGGCTGTAACGATCCACCGAAATCGAATCGGATCGCGGGCTTGGACAGTAACTTCTATGAAGCTCTTCTATCTCTTCCCTCGATCCGATCCTCGATATTTTTCTCCGTATTTTCGGTTCCACTTAGATACCACTTTTTCCCTCCAATAGATGCCGGCACTACACTATATACTGTGGAGTGTTACTCACCAATGTTACTCAGCGGCTGTGCAGTGTAGACTCTAGTCTATTCACCATTTAGTATTCATTGGCAATTTCTAATAATTTATTATTGCAAAATAATGAAAATATAAAAAATAAGATAACATTTCAATATTTTGGGAATCGAATCGAGAGGCTAATATCGAGAACCAGATCGAATCGAGAGGCTAATATCGAGAACCAGATCGAATCGAGAGGCTAATATCGAGAACCAGATCGAATCGAGAGGCTTGTGTATCGTTACAGCCCTAATACCTACACACGCACACACCTATACATAAAGCATACAACTGTAACATGTTTATATCAGGTCATAGTTAGATTTGAATTGATTTCCTTTACCAGACACTAATAATTTACAACTACTTATTAGTAGCAACTTCATGATGTTGTTTCAGTTTATAAGATAGTTATCGAGCGCAATTTTGGGTCAATTTGGTAGTATGTTTGCGTGTGTTGATGTAACATGGGTTAAATAATTCCTAATTTCAGTCATTTTTATGCTGGAGTAATCAGTATCATATTTGTTATTAGGTAAGCCTATATTTCACTATATTTTTCCTGATTATGCCCATTATGAGGAAGTTTAATAGAAGGCGTGCAAGTGGAGAATCACTAGTGAACAATTTTGGCAGCTATAAAAAGGATTGGAAAATCTATAGCTAAGACTCACCAGAAACAGGGTCTATATATCAGGGTCAGAATATACAAAACCTGTGCACGCAGATTCCTGACGAACCATGCTCGCTACTGGAAGACGAATTGCACCAAAATATGGTTTACCATGATTAGTGTTACAGACTTAATTATTAGCATACCTTAAAACTAACGCATTTGTCCATCGGTAACCTCCAGTCCAGTTACACAAAACTTTCTTTTTGAATATTCTCTCACCTATAGAAATGAAAATTATACATGAAATATCTTAACTTCGTCAACTGTCACTAATCAAAAATTTGCCCACCTTGTCTTTTTTAATTTTTAAATACATTATTTAGTGAATAGTTTTTCATCAAAATCTCAGTTTACATATAATGCTAGCCGCACACTATACGACCCGAGTGGGATAGGGAGGCTTACGTCTGGATCGGGAAGTCATTTTGGGCCGATTCGAATTTTGAATCGGGAGCGGAGCAGATCGTATAGTGTGCGAGGGCTTACGACGCGACTCGGATAGTGTGCGTGGCCATCCGACCCGCCGCTGAGCACTGAAGAAAATTGACCAATCACAGAGCAGCGCCATGGGAACCACATTCGGTAAAAATGGCGAGGAAACACTCCCAATCCTTAGTACACGCTAAATCCGTTTGGAACGCCACGAGAGCGTCATGGTTAGCGCCGACTTTGAGTCGTACAGTGTGCGGGGGCCTCCCGATCAATCGGCTGCCGAGCGTATAGTGTGCGAGGGCTTACGACTGCGGCCCGAGGAAAATCGTATAGTGTGCGGCTAGCATTAGTAGCAATACACTTCTCCTCAATTATTCTGTATGATTTAAAGCCCCTAATAAATTATGTGAAATTACCAAGAAATATAACCCTTAGTAAAACCTTTCATAATTATATGGATATCTTTAAAATATTTAATAGAAATTCATTTGGCCATTTCCATAAGGCCAAAGTTACTTATTGTATGTATAAATACATTGTTTCTAATATGCAATGGAAGTTCATTTCAAAGAATATTATAACATAAAAACAATAGTGTTCTGATACTGAGTTCTAGTGATAGTGTAATCATGATACTACCTAAGCACATGATATGATCTTTCATAGTACAGTTGCTGACATAGTACTGCCTAGGAGAGGATACAACATGGCAGTTCGTTGTCTCAGTACATGTGTGTTGACTCGGCTCAGTTTGGTAGCAATAGCAACAATTCATCGTAACTGTAAACTTCCGCTCTCCCTGTAAAAGAATAATAACATTTGCAACACAGGTACTGCAGAATTTATGCATAAACATGCCCTCATAGATGCTGCAAGACTATTTTAGTTACTTTAAATCATAATTTAAAATACTTCTACTAGTACAGTGGTCTTCACTTTATCGGGCCAACCCCAGAACCATGAATTTGTACCAATTAAATGGTGAACACATTTCCATGCAGTCACACTTGCCTACTTGCACCTTACACAATTCGCTGTACACAACATATGTCACAATTTTGTAAGCTTATTATGTTCAGAATCTGCTGCAAAACTGACAATTGTCAGTTTGCTTTTAGGTTTAGGATTGTTTTACAACATACAGTTAAAATACTACGCACGACTTAAATGTTACGTTTATAACCGTAACAACAGACCTCAGATGAGCCCAGACGCTCTGCGGCTCTTGTTTGTAATTATGAGATAAAACAAATATAATGCTAGACATGCAGCACTATTTTGTAATGAACTGGCTCTATAATAATCAACCTGCCAAATTTTTATTTTAGCTTATGTGATGGGGTGATTGGGTTTATTGGTTATTGGTACCATTGCAGATTGTAAAACCAGGCTGTGGCATGGAAACACGGCCAGAAAGAGGGTCTCTAGTGAAGCTTTCGTATTCTGGAAAGCTTGATGATGGAACTGAAGTAGACACTTGTGAATGCAAAGAGTTCGTACTTGGGGATGGTGATATGATACATGGTAGGAAATTTTATATGGATTTGTATTACTCCATTCATCCATGATAGTTATGTTGATTTACTTGTTGCCGTAACTAGTGATTCCCCGATAATCG